CGTCGTAGGGAGGAGTGGGAAGGGACATCCTGCTGAGAGACAGCAGCTGTGCTGGCACTGGAAGGGTGAGTGTCACAACCTGTCACCTGCCTACACACCTGGCAGCACAGCCAACAGGCCCTTCCTGAAGGGACAACACGTGCCACAGGTTGTGGCAGTTTGTGCAGTGGGGAATTGGGAATAAAGCAAATTCCAAGCAAAAATCCCCAACAGGTCAGGTTCTGCCCTCTGATGACAGGATGGGGTGAGGTAGAAGGGATTTAAATCTGGTTTCTGCTGTGTAAGAGCAAAGTTCTGGGAAGGCTTTGGGTGATTAGCCAAAACCTGCTCCTGTAGCTCTAACTCCAGGGTCCTCTTTCCTTTCCAAGGTTGTTTCACTTTCAAAACTACTATTAGTAATATATATATCCTTTTATTGGCAAAGATTTCTGATAATACAAGCCAAATGGCATATGGGAAACTTGGAATTTGAGCCATATATGTTCTATATATAGGTTTGGGGGAATAATGCTGCTTTAATAGAGTCTGTGTAGGTAGAGGTGGATTTAAACAGACTTAAAGCTCAGCCAGCACTTAAAATATTTTAAAGTTGCAAAATATCATGAGCTAAATGTCTTTTTATGCCTGAGAAATGGGCACTCCTGGAGCTTCACAAGAAACCTGCAACTGCCAAGCTGAGGTGCACAGAGCAGGCAGAGATCAGGTCCTTAAAACCAGGGAATTTTCTGGAGGCTGATGCACTCCCACTGCCAGCCCTAACTACAGCTTCTGAAGGCCCTTATAATATGGGAATAGAATCCATGAAGCCAAAGCATCCAATTTCTCCAGGGAATCCAAGCTTTTTGCAGTGACAGTGAGCCCAAAGGAGCCCATTGCGCTGTGTCTCCAACGGGAAGAGCCAAGAAGGCTCTAAGGATTTTTCACAACAAACGTACCTGGGACTATCCAGCACCTCTGCCCCTCTTAAACAACAGTGAATTAACCAACAGAAGTGGAAACCTCCTATTGTTTTCTCTTTTTTAAGGCATATAATCCCATTTTAACGTGCACATAGGAAAACGAAATTTCTGACGGATGTTGCATCAGCCTCAGGAATTGCAGGCCCAGCATCCAAACCCACAGGAAGGTACAATTCCCTAAAAAAGCCTCTACTTTTACAATTTTAAACACTTCCAAGTAAAAGCACAAATAGATTAAAAGCTCTCTTAAAATGCAATTTCTTGAGAAAATCCCCTTGTTGACATAAGGCTGTCACAAAAGCTCAGTTAATTTATTCCAGTTAATTTAGAATTCCAGAGATTTATTCCAGTTACTGAGTTTGGAACAGCACAGCCATCAGTAAATGGTGTGGCCCTGATGGGTTTGAGCTCACAGAACACCGGTGCAGTCTGAACCTCCACAGCACCAAGGGATCATCCTATGTTGCTGTCCTAAAAATGGAACAGTCACAGACTCAGGAAAATACCTTTGCCTGTTTATGAAACAAACAGTAAAACAAGTGTTTGGCTTTTTAGTGAGGCCAGTAAAGGGTTCAGGTGTGCCCAGGTAGGGTGAGCACGCTGCCAACACCCATCTCAAAATGGCCACACTGGAGTGCAGTGAAAATCTGTCACTGCCATTTGCACGTGCTCAGGCAGTGTCTGCCTCTCCACAATGACCTGCAGAGCTCTGCAAGAGCCTGCACAGCCCAAAAATCACCTCCTGACCCACGACCCAAGCGCTGCCGACACGGTGACCTCTGGGACGTGGCCGTTACCACTCACTTACCACTTCGTCGCCGTAGTCCCCGTTGAGGCGCAGGGAGCTGTTGAGGAATTGGCTCTCCAAGCGGCTCTTCAGCTCCTGCACTTGCTTCTTCAGGGTCTCCACCTCCTGCTGGTGGCCAGTCTCGATCTGGCGCAGGCGCTGCTGGATGACATCGGTGTACACAGGCATCCCGTCATCGTCCAGGTGGCTGCGGGCGGGCTGATCCGGGCTGCCACCCGTCTGCTGCTTGCCCAGATGGCTGAACATCCATTTTTGGTGCAAGTTCCTCAAGTGTAGCTGCGCAGAGCTGCAGCTGGCGGCAGAGACCTGCCGGCTGAGCGCGGCCTTGGCCCGCCCGTCCTCCCCGTTGAGGCAGTGCCCGTTCGCCGCGGAGGGTTTCGTGGGGAGGAGCCCCACGGGCGGCTCGGACAGCTTGTTCTCCGGCTCCGGCTCCCCGTTACACACCACCTCATCTTTACGCTCTGCTAAAGGCAAGGCACAAGGGGAAGGCATCGGGAGGTGTGTGGTGCTGCTGCTACCGTAAGTCCTATGCACTCTTGTTCCCAGTTTTTGGAGCTCTATCATGCCCTCCCCCTCCGGCCTGTTCTCCGGAGTCCGGGACAACTCGTCAGCGCTGTTGTCGAAGGGGTGAGGTCTGTGGCACGGGCTCTTAGGCGTGAGCTCGGGCTTTGCTTCCATCTCCATTAAGGTTTCTGTGGAACTCTCCATGTTGGATGTCCTTGGCTCCGGCAGGGCTGTCAGAGGAAAGGCAATGCCATCCTCCCCCGTGCTGGACGGGCTCTCTGCTTCTCCTTCGTATTTCCCAACACCTTCCTCCTCCGCGTTGTTCTGCGCATCTCTGTTTCCGGAGCCCTCCGAAGGGACACTCTGCAGTTCTCTCACCTGAGGTACTTTCTGGAGAGCATTGCTGGGATTGCTGTGCTCATCCTGTTGTCCTTTGAGCTCAGAAGCACCTTGTGAAACTGTGTGTGGATTGGATGTGGGATTGTTCCTTACGATACCTGTATCCGCCTCAGCCTTTTCACCGAGGTCACCGACATACCCACACAGACTGTCAGCTCTCTTCTCCTTATCCAGAGCAACCTCATCTCCTTTCCCTGCTGTCTCAGGGCCACCCCTTAAGTGCTCCTCCAGCCCAACATCATCTTTAGTGGCCTCCTGCAGAATGTTCTCCATCTGTCCCTCTGCCACCCCAGCAGCCACAGAGAGCTCTGCCCCCAGGGGGGCCCTGCCCTGCCTGCTCAGGCTGTCCCCCTCGAAGGGGTCGTCCCCGGGGGGGCCCAGGCTGCTCAGCTCCAGGGAGCGCCGGTGCTCCTGCCACTTCTCGTTGAGGCTGGGGTCGCTGCTGCGGCGATTGGCTGTAGGCACACTGCTGTCACAGGCTGTCGTCAGATTGTCGAAGGATCTTGTCTTTGGTAACCTGCAAAGGGACAAACAATCCCAGTCTGAAGTCAGGGGATGTTTTCTTTAAACTTTTAGCTACTGTGGTTTAAAACCTCTCCCCAGTTAGGATAGTAACAACCTGCTAACTAGTGGACTTGTGTGATGTATTATCCAGGAACACATTCTGACCATCTGTAGTGCAGAGCTGCTTCAGTACTTCCTTTTTTTGCCATTAGGAAAATACGTTCAACCAGAATATTATTCCCAGAATAATCCCTTTACCATCGAGCCCAAATGCTCACAGCCTGGTCACACCTCCTAATTAACATGTGCTCAGAGTCATTGTACAGAAAAGCAAAGAAATAGTTATGCAACACCAAAAAAACCCCTTAAATTCAAGATAACCAAGGGAAAGCTTATATCCCACAAGGATATAAGGAATTCTGCGTGGCTGTGTGACGCACCCAGAGCTTAACTCTCTTTGCCAAGCTTCTCTCTGACACACTATCACCCCTGAAACGTGACAGCTTCCAAACCCCGAACACCCACAGACTGTGTTTGGGCAGGTCAGTCCCACAAACACACCTGGGAGAAATCCTGCCCTGCCCCCCCCACAAGCATCCTCCTTTTACATCCCACAATATTCTCTGTTGATCTTACTTTACAGGACGGGATTTCTGGGCTCTAGGCTCACCTGCCCAGAGGCTGATCTTCAGGGCTAGAGCCTGGCACAGGGTATGGGGCACAGGTGTCGTCGGCAGGCGTGGAGGGGGAGGAGCAGGGCAGGTAAACAGCACTCCAGAGCATTAAGTTCCGCACATGGCACACTGGATACAGCACCTGAGAGGGAGAACACACGGAAAGAGTCAACTGCTGGCTGCCAGAAGGCAGAGAAGTGTTCAGCTCTGAGGGTGGCAGCTCACCACTGTGCAGCTCTGCAGCTGGGAGATCTCCAGCTGAGGGCATTTAATCAGTGACACTTGGATCTAGAATGATCTTTTCTGTCAGAGACAGAGGCAGAACAATGCCAGCCTTCAGCTCCTCATGAATGAACTCCTGCAATGTGCTCCCTGTGAATCTACACCTTCATAATGCTCCTGAGTAACTTAAGCTGCTGTGGAATTCAGTGGCCCATTGTCAGCGCTGACGGTTCCTTGTGTGCTGTGTTACACTGTGCCAGAGGAGAGCTGAATTCACAACCTCCTCCCACAGGCCCCAGTCCACCACAGCCCGGCCTGGCTCTAATGGGAGCACTCACATGTTACAAATCAAGTGCACCCAGAAATACTTTGCTGAAGAGGCAGCTTGCTCATAAAAGGGATTCCTTGATCATGGAATATGCTTTGTGTTTCACTTTAAAAACACCTGGGCTCACTCTAGCAATCCCACTTCTTTCCAAGCAGCTTCTTTGAGGAAATGCAGGCAATGACAGAGGAATAGTCTGCCCCACCAGAGGGTGTTTGGGCTCTGGAACAGCTCCCCTGGGCAGTGGTCACGGCCCCAAGGCTGACAGAGCTCAAGGAGTGTTTGGCCAATGCTCTCAGGCATAGGGTGGACTGCTGGGCTGTCCTGTGCAGGGCCTGAAGCTGGACTTGATGATCCTTCCTAAATCAGAAAATGTCCTCCTGTGAGTCTGTGAAACCTCTGTCAGGTTTCTGTGGCACTGAGCAGGGGGAGAGCTGTGGGGTGGCTGCTGCTCTGAAATAACTATGGTTTTGTAACATGTGGCTGCATCAGAGAGGCACCTTTTAAAGCCTCAAGTAAAACCGCAGAGAGATGAACCCAAGACAGGAAATTACCAAACTCCCCCACGCAGACAGAGCAGTCTCGTTAGTGCAGTGTCCTATTTCCTGAGAACACGCTGTGTCCCCGAGCCTGTGTCTGTACTGTGGGACAGAGCACGGAAGGGCAGCCCAAGGGCACACCTGACCACACAGCCTCTGGAGAAGCCCTCCCTGCACTCCTCCTGGGCAGACCCACTGGCATTTTCAGGGGAATTTAGATGCATCTATAGCTTAAATATCCTCACAGATCACATCATTCTGCTCTGTCTCACAGGCTCTCAGGATGATGGTGGCAGGTGGAAGGCTGGAAGGGCTCTGTGGGACACTGCTGTGGCACTGACGGGCCCTGCCCACAGCCCAGTGCAGGCTGCATGGCCAGAGCCTGGGGCAGACACAGCCACAGAGAGCTGGGGTGAACACAAAATTAATCTTTCCATAACCAATGTGGGCATAAAACTCTTCCCTACTAAGCCAAGCTTTAATTTTACTCCAAGGAACAACTCAAAGCCACATCTATCATATGCAAACCCACTGCACAGGCCTGAGTTTGGTTTGTGACATCTGATACTCTCATAAATAAAAAGGGTTTAAATATTTATAAAAGTCTTTGCAGCCCTAACCATGATGTCATTTGGTGACTGCCTGTTTGTTCACTTGCCCATGTCTACTGCCCTCAATGCCTCACGTGGCCTGGGATCAAACACACCATGGGGTAACTATGAGCCCCTTCCCAGAACCCTCAGTGAGCTCTTACCATGGAGCAGCCAAACTGGAAACATGAAGATACTAAGAAGAAACAAAGATACACTAAATAATCTGAGCTACTTGATCTGTTTAGATTTCACATGAATTTAGACACAGTGCCTAGGTTTGCAGGCAATTTTATGTCACTCCTCTGACACAGCTGAGTTCTCTAGAAAGGTCCATTTGTCAAACACTGAAATGTTTTCTGTTACAAAAAATAAAGTAAAATATTTAGTTACAGAAAACACATTTCCAGCATGGAGAAATTTCTGAGGTGACATTTGACATTCCTCAAATATCAGAAACATTAACACTAGTCTGAGCCAAGCGTTCCAAGGTGAACGTCAGTGGGAGAGCTGAGCAGGCTGATCTGGGAATGCCTCTGCACTGCTCATAGTGACAGTTCATAGACTCACAGAATGGTTTGGGTTGGAAGGACCTTAAAGCTCATCCCCTGCCATGGGCAACCTTCCACTCCACTAACCCAGGTTGCTCCAAGCTCCATCCAACCTGGCCTGGAACACTTCCAGGGATGGGGCAGCCACCGCCTCAGTTGTGTTTGAACCCCAGTTCACCATGTCCCAGTGTTTGGGTGTTTTCCCAGGGGACAGCCTTTTGGGAACACTGTCCCTGGGAGCCCCCAGGGGTGGGGGATACATACAGATTCCGATTGGGAGGAGTAGAGCAGGTTTTTGAAGGCTTTGTTTGCTGCCCGCAGCAAAGACCAGACGGAGCAGGTCCGTTCCTGAGTGTGTTTCTCTCCTCTCTCTTTCGCATTGTTGCACAGGAATGTTCCAAAGAGGCAGGAGTAGGTGTGCTGCACCAATTTCACCTGCACACAGCAAGACAGATGTGTCAGGTGGCAGAAGAGATCAGCCTCACCCTCCCTTTGCAGGGCCATGCTCCCTCCCAGGGCTGCCACGCCACACACAGCATTGTTTGCATACCTCCCTGCAAACCAATTGCACAGGAATGCAAGAGGAGTGGAATCCTTTAAAAATCGTAACTACAAAAATTCAGGAAAAATATAACATAGAAAGACAAAATATTTGTTCATAATCAGCATAAGAGTCACGTTGATGCAAACTCCTTGCCCTGCAGGACAGGCAGAGCAGGGACTCATGATTCCTCTGCTGCAGAACATTAAAGCAGCACAGAAATGCTGATCATTAATCACTCCATGCCGTGGGCTCAGCCTACAAAATGGCTTAGTATTAGCTTAACTTTAGACATATAAATGACTTCCTTGGGATTATTCAGATGTTTAAATGAAGACAAGTAGTTCAGAACTCTAATAAATTAGGGGGTTCACTCTACAAAGGCCAGAACACCAAGGCATGTTCCCTCCCAGCCCCTGGAGATTAGCAGTGTGCTGTGAAGCCAGTTACTACCTGATGTATCTCATTTCACAACTGAGCTACGCTGGGACTGTACACCGACTCGGTTACATGGCTGAGCTGGCAAGTGGTAATTCAAGTCAGCCACAATCACAGGAATGTGCCTTAAATCTCTTAGTGCATCAGACACTTCATAAAAACTTTTATTCTTCAAATTCTTGGTCCTGCAGCCCATGACTGCCACTTCCCCAGAGACCTGGTCACTGACTTTGACCATTTGAGGTGAATTCGTAATGGGAGAGCTGTCTGCTTCCAGAGAAGATAAACAGAGCTCCTATATCCTGCACATTTCCAGCACAGAAACTGAAAAAAAAATGAATGGAGCAGGTTGTTTTTAGAGGAGGAGCCTTCAGAGGATCAAAGCAGGGGGAAGTTTGTGTGGCCAATGAGGACGATTTATTCATGCTGTGTGAATGTATTACACCTCTTAGGTGAGACTAGTCAAATAGTAGCCTCTATTTCTTTAAAGTCTGTAAAAAGTCCCTAAGGGTCCTGCTTCTGTTTTAAGAGTGAACAGACACTATGGAGTACACAAATAATTTTGTCTGCTGTATCCAGACAACTTTCCTGTTACCTTTATCAGGTTACAGCATACAGAACCATGGAATGTTTTGGGTTGGAAGGGGTTGGGTTGGGTTAAAAGCTCATCTCATCCATCCTCTGCCATGGGCAGGGACACCTTCCACTAGTCCAGGTTGCTCCAAACCCCATCCAACCTGGCCTTGGACACCTGCAGAACCACAGCCAGGTGGGAAAAGCCCACCCTCCCATGCTCCATGGCCTGCCAGCCCTGGTTTACCAGCAGTCTAGAAACCAGCAACCTCCCAAGCCACAACTCACAAGGAATGCTTCATTAAACTCAAAAGAGCAGGGGAACTGCCTCTGGAGCTGATGGACACAGTCCAGCCACTGCAGAAACACGGGGCAGCGCTCGTTGAGGTCGTCTGAGTTCTCGCCATGGCCACAGCGATCTGCAAACTTGTGGCCAAAATCCAGCCACTCTGTCTCCACTAGCACCTGGAAACCCTGCAGGATGGAAAAGACACATGAAGAATATCTATTTTGCTTTGGTTCAGTTTCCTGACATGGTCTGAGGCTCATGGGAATATTGTTGTGTCCTCACTGTCTTTTATTACCCCTCAGCACTGGGTTTGGTACTTCCCTTTACTGCTTCACCTCATGCCTCTGTGCTCTGAAATGCTGCACAATGGAATTGGGACAGATACGGATTCCTAAACCTACATGAACAGGAAAGGGAATAAGACAAGTTAAGTTCTCAGCGACTGGCAAGGAGGATCCTGCTATGAGCCCTATCTCAGCCAGCCAGGGGTGAGTAGGAACTGCATTTTGACCAAAACCATCTTGACCATGGCACCCCTCACTTGGACAGGACACCTGAAAGCTTTCTCTTGAAAATGACAGGCAAATCCATCTGTCGTGGAAGAAACCAATCCATGCACACCAGGACATCCAGGCTCAGGGAGGGCAGGTGCTTGCCTGCGTGTACACCAGGTGTAGCACAGTCACAAGGCTGATGAAAGGTTCACTTGGGAGATTTCTCATGAAAAGGAAAAGGCAGAGAACATCCCAAAAGAGTGCCTAGGTGAGAAGCTGAAGGTCACACAGGACCTGAATCCCTTCACAAATCAGGAAGGTTTTGGTTCTTAATGGAAAGGAAAATTACAGAGCATGTTTATTGAGTCAAAGGCTCAAATAATGTCTGTGACCAGAGCCAAAACAATGGCTCTGGACAGCTGGGAAGCCTGACATGTGACAGTGCTGAAGACTCATCTTTCTCAACATTTCTGATCCTGGTAGAGATAGTCACAGTTCATGGTTTCCTCTGGGTATCAAGTAAGGCACAGGCTATGCCCAGCAGAACTCTGCACTCCCAACAGGAAGGACAGCACTCTTCAGAGGAGTAGGAGGAGGTTCTGTGCCCAGGCCACAGCATCATGTTTTGCCGTGATGGATGCCAACTTCTAGAACCCCTGTGAAAAAGGATCCAAGAAGTTTCCACTCTTCCATCCAAAAGGCTGTGCTGCAGTTCAAACCTCTGGTCTTCATGTGTGTGAGGCTTTGAGCAGCAGTTTATAGCACAGTGTTCAGACACAGAGTTCTGTTCTGGACAACAAAGGCATCTTGCCCGTGGGCTGGGAGATGGAATCCAGCCAGCACACAGCCCACAGTGCTGCAAAGTGATGAGGGGAAATCAAGCTGAAAACTCAGGAGAAATATAACTGAGAGAGGACAAAGAAAATGTGAAACTGGAAAGCCATGCAGTAGGGAAATGCAGCAAAGAGAAAGGCTTTGTGTCAGTGCTTGGCTGAGAACCTGCAGGGGTGCAATGGACACTGCAACTGCAGCACTTTGCATTCCTAAACTAAGGAGGGGGAAGCACAGCCTATGGGCCGTGCAGTGCCAGCCACGGGGGAATACAATCTGCTCCTGAGTTACAGACTGCACCTATACCTATGTGGAACTGTGTGCACACGTAAGGCTGTTGGTAAACTGCTGCCAGCTTTAATGCCTTTGCTGGTGGAAAAAACTGCAACCATTTCACAGAATGATCAAAGCTGGAGGAGACCTCTAAGATCATCAGGTCCAACCATTAACCTGTCACTGCTGTAACCTCTAAACCCTAAACCATATCCTCCAGCACCAGGTCCAGATGCCTCTTGAACACTTCCAGGGATGGTGACTCCACCAGCTCCCTGGGCAATTCCCTTTTCCAGTGTTTGACCACCCCAAGAGGGAAAATTTTTTTCCTAATATTTAATCTGCCTCTCTCCTGTCTCAGCTCAAGGCCATTCCCTCTAGTCCTCTCCCTGCAGCCATGGCAGGAAAGACATCCCCCCTCTGTCCAACCCCTGTCAGGGAGTTGGAGAGAGCCATGAGGTCACCCCTGAACCTCTTCTCAAGGCTAACCAAGCCCAACTCCCTCAGCCCTTCCTCATGTGCTCTAGCCCTTTCCTGCCCTCGTTGCCCTTGGCTGGACTTACTCCAGAGCCTCAATGGCCTTTTTGCAGTGAAAAGCCCAAATGTGAACACAGATTTTCTCAGGCCAGGCCCTGAGCTCAGGGCCTCCCCCATGCACTCCCAGCTGCTTTACCAACCTCTGTGGTCCTGTAGTAGGGGTCTAGCAGCAGCTTGGCCAGGGCCACGATCTGGGGGGTGCGGTCCCAGCCATCGGAGCAGTGCACCAGCACCGGCCGCTGGTCCCGGTCCACGGCGTGAACCACCAGCAGAGCAGATTTCAGGAGCACTGACAGGTGCTGCAGCCACTTGGTGCTCTCCAGAGCTGACAACCAACTAGAGGAAAACAAGGGAAGACAGTTTTTGCTCTTTTAAAATGCTTTCAGGTTTGGATCTCTGAAGCTATCAAGGCAAAGCTTCTGTTTTAATGAGCTGAGTCTTTAGGGATTATTTCATGTTTACGTCTCATTAATGCTTTCCCAGAGGTGAAAACACAAAGCCACACAGCCCATCCCACTGCCAGGCTCTGGGATGAGCTGAAGATCTCCAGTGCAATAAGGGTGCCCATTCTGGATCAACTTTGAAACCATGGAAGGCTTTAGCAGCAAATTCCAAGCAGCAAGTGGGAGGGCAAACAGGACTGGGACAACTACAGTGTCCTAGTGAAGACTTGAGCTCAGAAGCTCTGAGATGCTGGGCCATCAGAGGGTAGTTACTCCATAGCACTGGAGGGCTATCAAATATTCTCCTGAGATGACAGCACAGATACATGAAGCACATGGAACACCACCAGAATTTTCCAGTGGACAGCCAAGATGTGGAGCTGGAAGAGCTGGGAATAGGTCACCCTAAGTGTGAGTGCTTCAAAGCCCACTCTAAAGCAATAACATTCTGGTATCAACACTCAAGGCTACTCTGTAGTCTCAGAACTAATTTTCCAGGGTCATTTCAGTCATAATAAACCAATGACTTCCTCTGGCTTCAGTTCCATGAAAATGAAAATATAGCTTAACATCACTGCACCAGAAAGTCACCAAGAGCAAAAGCGCTGAAATTCAGCCTAAAATCAGCAGCAAATAAATGTGGCTGAGAAACATGTAACCCAAGGCCCAAACCCCCAAACATCCACTTACTTTCCTGGATCTGGCATTTGTGTGCAGAGCAGACGCAGCGACTGGAAGCTCTTCCGGATGGAATGGATGTTTGCCATCACATCACTGCACCAGAAAGTCACCAAGAGCAAAAGCGCTGAAATTCAGCCTAAAATCAGCAGCAAATAAATGTGGCTGAGAAACATGTAACCCAAGGCCCAAACCCCCAAACATCCACTTACTTTCCTGGATCTGGCATTTGTGTGCAGAGCAGACGCAGCGACTGGAAGCTCTTCCGGATGGAATGGATGTTTGCCATCCCCATGAACACAACTTCACAGGTAATACTCTTAAGAGCCAGAAAGAAACTAACAAATATATTTCTGAAAGAAGTTTTTTTCATAAACACAAACCACTGTTGCTGCGGACAGATGAAATAATCTGTTTAGGAACATTCCCTATGGACACACCAGTCCTTGGAGCTCAGAGGGTATTCCAGACATGGCACAACAGCCCATCAAAACAGGAAGTAGTTAGCGAAGTCCTGATGGATTTATTGGCAATGTTTCACTTCAGGTTACAAAAAGCAGAGTGTGCAAACCTGTGGGAATGGAGATATTCCTGTGCTCCAGGTTCCAGAATGTTCTAAGGACTGAAAAACATCCTAAGATGTGAAGCATAAATAATATTTAACTGATAATTTATGGATGCTCTTAAATTTGGTAAACTTAGGTATGTAAGTAACAGATTCTTTTTCCTAACAACTCCAAGGTTACTTCATCCACTGGTTTCTTCTGAGAGGAATTTTATGAGGAAGCATCACATGTAGGAAGAATACTGGAAGCTCAGGAAAACAGAAGATATATGGAATTACTTCAGATGTTGCTATGGGATGTGCTGGAGCAACGCTGCAGGCAAAGCCTGTACAGACAGGGTCACTGGTCAGGGGAGCACCTAAGGAGACCCAGAAAAATCCCAATGCAGTAGTTCTTCCTAGGTTTAATTTTCCTCTGTCCTCGTGCCTCTGTTTGCACAAAAATGATGACACAATAGCTAAAATAACCATTTCTACAGGAGAAAACCAGTCAGGATGAGAGTATGGGATACTGAGTTCTTGCACTAGAGAATGCAGGAGTGTCTGAGCATGTTTTGTATCATTTTATTTCTCAACTCGTTATCAGCCCAACAGCAGCTCCCAAGCAGAACATACCGTGCAACCCCAGGCAGCAGCCACAGGCTGGATCAGACAATTTTAGCATTTTTGGGTCATTTTACTGAATTATGGTATTTATAAAATAAAGAACAGCATAAACGAGATATTTTTATACAGAGACTGAAGCAAACTTGGCAATACTTGGAGAAAACTCAGCAGCAAAAGCAATGCAGGTCCTTCACTGAAGGTGAGAAACTGCTTGGAAATCTTTACACAAAGCTCAAGAACAAATACACAGGAAGAAAATGAAACTTCTGTATACTCTGTTTTTCTGGTTTGAATTTTTACTCTCTGACAAGGAATTATATAGCAGTTTTGTAGTGTTAAATGGAAACTCCATCTTTTCTCACCGGTGGCTGCAAATCGAAGCGCAGCTATGGCAGCAGAGACCAAAACAACAATATATGGTCAAAAGAGCTTTCGTTATCTTATCTCCAGCTTTTCTGTCTGGGATTTTTTCTAGACTCTTCACCCATGGAATTTTAACAGGCTGCATTCATACCCAACAGTGGCCATAAACAACATCCTGTTTGTAATACTACCAATTCAGAAGTGCCAAAGTACACACAAAGTGGTACTGCAAATGTGTTCCACACTGAGGTGAAGCAGATTGTAGCTGCTTTGGGTTATGATATAAATGCTGAAAAATGTTCCAGCTTTAGAAAAATTGCTGAAAAGTTCATTCTACACAACCATTCTAGAATATTATTATCCTCTACAGCTAGTGTTTGTACAAGTTCAGGGTTTTTAGACATGAGCTCACTGGACACCTTTGTCTCTCACAGTTTGCATATCTGACTCAGCAAGGCAAAGCTCATCAGCATATTCCACATGGTTCAGCATTTACTGAGCAGTTACCAGCTCAGTACATGCTGGTAACTCAGGTCTCAGGGTTTATACCCTGAGAACAGCCTTCATTAACACTAAACCTGCTCTCTGGAAGGGCTGAGGGACAGCTCCCATGACCTAGAACTTCCAGACAGATGAATAGTCCTCACATCCCCAGGGTCAGGTGAACATGCACTACTGAAGGGTATCAGTGCAATAATCCTTTTGGTTAACTGAATGAACCCCTGAGAAGACTTTCCATTGCTGCTCACCTGGGCACTCACAGCCTCCACCTTTGGCTCTGTTGGCCACAGCAGCTGCGTAAGATCGTGCATCCAAGATCAAAAGCTTCTGAGGTTGAATTGCCAAACTCTCTGCTCCTGAGGCATTGGAGATGGAGGAGTCTGGGGAGGAGGAGATGCAGCTGGTGAGGAACTGAAAGGACATCTCTGACCTGGGTTACAACATGATTCACTCAGCCCCACAACGCACATGCATTGGAGACTGGATTAAATACAATGGATCCAACCTGCTATAGTGTGTGTAAGAGATTAAACCTTCACATGGAGCTCTGCCCTTTCCAGAACAACAACAGGGACAAACTTACCAAATTCCGCATCAGAGAGGTCCCCTCCATTGGAGAAATCTCTGGAACAATTCCCATTCATTAACTTGTTACTGTTGGACCTCGAGTCTGAGGCACAGGCTTTGGCTACAGACTGGACAAGATGTTCATCATCTGCATTCCTCCAGCCCCACCAGCTGACCTCGGGCTGGCCACAGCGGGAGATCACTGCTCCATTGCTCTGGTGCCTGGAAAGGAGAACAGAGGTGCATAAGTTGAAGATCAGGATAAAGAACACGGAGGGCATGAAAAATTCAACAGTGCATTCCAGCAGCTAAATTCCCAGCAGGGACCTCTCCATCCTCCAGCAGTTATCCCCGGCCTGGATTCAGTGGCAGTGCATTCCACGTGCTTCCCTTCAAAGTGCTGACAGTGACCACAGTCACTGCAAGGTGAAAGTCAAAGCAAGGGCAGGAAGAGAAAACAAAGCATTTTCTTGCTCAATATTGTGGCCTGTTGGCCAGGGAACTCTGAGGAATGTTCTGGAACAGCAGGTGAGGCTTGAGAGAGGTACTGCACCTGCTGGATGGAGATAGCTGAGGAACAACCAAACCTGAGTGTGGCTGCTGTCTTCAGGGGAGTGACATCAAAAAGCAGCACATTTTCTTTACATGTCTGAAGAGTTAGTGGTTATTTCCTTAAATATGACCTAGCTTCTTGTACTACACATAAAGGACAGATCTGAAATAATTAAAACTTATCCAACCATTACAAACCAGCTCTGAAAAAGATTTAAAAACTCTCCTCTATAATCTACCATAAACAGAAGACTGAAACATACTATCACAGTAATTCCACTCACTGCCTCCATGCTGCCACCAACACTAGTAACTCCCTATTTCCTGAAGTGTTTGCAGCTGGCAGGAACAACATTCTCCCTCACCTTTCCCACGAGCTCCCTGAAGTCAGGGAGCTCAGCACAGGCAGGAAGGAATCCCAGCTGTGGGCACGGGCAGCTGCAGGTGGAGTGGCCAGAGCAGCAGACACAGCTTCTCTGAGGCCACAGAGTGAGCCAACAATGCTCAGGAACACATGATACCTAGAAATGTTTGCTTCCTGTCTCATGTCCCATCTGAAATATCCAACCACTCATCCACACACTGTGCTGCTCTATTTCAATGGCCTGTAGATCCCATAATGGTTTGGGTTGGAGGGACCTTAAAGATCATCTCATTCCACCACTTGCCATGGGCAGGGACACCTTCCACGAGACCAAGTTGCTTAAAGCCCCATCCAGTCTGGCCTGGAACACTCCCAGGGATGGAGCAGCCACAGCTGCTCTGAACAAGCTGGGCCAGTGCCTCAGCACCCTCACAGGGAACAATTCCTTCCCAATATCCATCTAGCCTTGCCCTCCGGCAGTGGGAAGCCACCCCCTGTGTCCCTCCACGCCCTTGTTCCAAGTCCCTCTGCAGCTCTCTTGGAGCCCATTTAGGAACTGGAAGGGGCTCTGAGGTCTCTGCACCCCAGAGGTACAAAGCTCCCACATGCCAATTCCAGTTTCTGTGTGTTACAATGCAGCAAAGGATTTCCCAGGCTCCCTGCACACAAACTGCACATCTCAGCTTCAAGGCAACCAGGAGCTGCTCATTCCCTCTGACCAGGAACACACAGAGCAGGGAGAGTTACCTAAAGCTTTAAGCAAATCTTCCCAGCTGCCTCAGCCCTGAACCACATAGAATGCCCACCCAAACCTATAAATCTCAACTTTCTCCCTCTCAGCACTCTAATAAATGTTTATGGAGGTGTGACAGGCTGGTTGTGATGTGTTGTCAGAGCTGTCAGCCCCTGGGGGTGCTGCTCAGCACCTCCTCCTCAGTGTCCCTGCAGGGCACAGCGTGGGTCGCACGTCGCTGCCTCCTGCACTCAGGCAGCAGCAACACAGCGTCGGGATACAGCTCCGTGGGGCACGTCCCTGAAATTATAAAATAGGCTGTGATCTGCCATTTTAAGTATTTTTCATAGCTCTTTTGTAATTGTTTCCTATAAAACCCCTTCAGTGAGAGGAGGCAGCTGCCACGCTGCGTTAACCGAACCGAAGGAAAAGCAATCCGTAGCCACGGCACTTACAGCAGGTGCCAGCAGACTGCAGGCACAGGGAAATGGATTTCTGCTGGAATTAATAGCCTTCCACAAACAGCTCTACCTATAGCAAATTAGTTCAGCAAAAAGTACATGCCAATCACTGAGAGGCCACCCAGTTCCCTGCTACGCTTGCACAACTAATAAGAGAAAATAAAACATCATTATAGGTGTAAGAAATCTATTTGGAACAGAGCAGCTCATTTATTTTTCCATATGTTCTCCCAGATTTCATTACTACCTGCTGCAGAATCATTTTCCTAGGTTCATAAAGAGTTATATTTTCATCTCCAGGTTCTTGGCTCACATTATAGCAAAAATAATACAGAATCCTTAGGCCAGAAGTTTAGCCTGTTGATGGCTGCAAAGCCCAAACACTCCTAACCCACACAAATATGCCATGTTCAGATGTACCAGCAGCAATCAGCAAACAAGTCTATTTAGGGGCATGCTGAAGGTCTGAGGAATCACACTCATTCCAACTGGCCTGGTCACGGGAATAAAACCAGCCAGTGTGACTCTGAGGTCCCTCAGGATAAGGTAGTGTCACTCAGAGCTCAGCAACCAGAGAAAAAAGGTTTAAAAAACCTTAAAGCAAAACCTCCACTGCAAATTTCCTCAATAGAGACCAAGCAACATGCTGCCCCCACTGCAGAAACCAAGGAGTAAAGCACCATCAGGGAACTATAAAGGCCTTTACAACATGTTGTACAGTTGTAGGATGTATGAAAACTTCTGCAGAGGCTTAATCCTCCCTGTGTTCGAGCCACCTTTGAGTACAAAATAAATCCCCAGAGCCCTTGTAACTGCAGAGCAGGGAGCAGTAAGGAAGCTTTGAATTGCTCCCTCCACAGCATTACTGAACTACCAGCACTAGTAATGGAAAAAAACATTGCTGCAGTTCAGGGACGTAACTCAGCAAGTAGAGAACAGGAACGTTTTCCATGTGCCTTTGCTCCCTGGGCCCGGAGGAACTCTGCCTGTGGGGGTGCTCCTCCTCAGCAGTGGGCAAGGCAATAGGGCACCTTCCACACAGCTGACTGCCAGGTAGGCTGTTCTGAGCTTGGGATGCTGTTTCCATAAGGTAGGAAGTCCTCTCTATTGTCTTCCCACTAAATCCTAAGAGCCATCTAGTTAACTTTCATTTTCTGGGGCCAGATTTATCTACAGAAATTATTGTTGCCCAGAGAGGTTGAAGCTGTGGCTGCTCCATCCCTAGGAGTGTTCCAGGTCAGGTTGGATGGGACTTGGAGCAACCTGGGCTAGTGGAAGATGTCCCTGCCCCAGGCAGAGGGTGGATGAGATGATCTTTAATGTCCCTCCCAAGCCAAACCTGTGTGTGATTCTCTGACTCTATGAACTATGTGCCTAGCTGTACATAACTAAACACAGACCAAAACTGCAGAAGATGAGTGTGAGACGTTTCTAGAAATCTGACCATAGAATAGAAGCAACATTCCTGACAGCCCAATCTCCAAGGAGTATTCCTGAAGTGTGCCTCCAAATTCATCCCACTCCACTTTTCAGCCTGGACTGCTTCAGAAGGACAACGGATTTGTTGTTGCCAGAGTCTCTGGTCTCTCCCTGTCCAGTGCTCAGTACCTGATACAAGTGATTGGACTAATTAGAAAAAAAATCATGATTACTAATTTTCCCCCCAAAGTAAATAAAAAAGAGATTTATTAATATGATCAATAATGAAACTAAAATCATAAAGACCCAAAATCATCTTCAATGAAAGCTGAATAAGCTTTTTTCCCTTACTCCTCCAAGAATAATAAAAAGCTACTTTTATGGCTGTATCTATATAAAACTATACATGGAATTCCAATCATAAAATCTTGGAATGGTTTGGGTTGGAAGGGACCTTAAGGATCATCTCATCCCACCCCCTGCCATGGGCAGAGACATCTTCCACCAGCCTAGACTGCCCCAAGCCCCATCCAACCTGGCCTTGAGATCATACAGATACCACCCACAAGCTGCTGTGAGCTCTATTAGGGCCCAGAATGATGAACTGGATGTCATGAAAAATTTACTACTAAATGTCAAGGTACAAAAAAAGAAATCAAAAAAGAGAAACACTTTTCTCTCCCTGATTTGAGGATTAGCAATGAAAAACCACCTGTGATTTACCACAGACAGTGTCAGCAGAGCTGCGGAAAATTGAATGCGGGGCTGGAACAATCTCAGTCTCTGTGGTCTTCTGACTTTTAAATTGCTCTCCCATAAATCCCTGGAATGCAAACTGCTCCCCGGAGTAAGAACAGAGTGATTTCCTTCTATGCAGTGCTGACAGGAGGAGGGATGCTTCCCTGGGCAAATGTGAGGTGTCCCCTAACTATGTGATCACTGCAGAACAGGCCCAAAGTGGCCTGAGATGCACCATGGAAAGCTGAACTGAAACCCACTGATAAATCACATTATTCTTTTGTACTAACAGACATACCTATATGCAGCATCATAGTAATAAAACACCTAAGTATTTAGAGATCAGCATATGCTGGAAAGTATTTTTCCCCCTCCCAGAGCTGAGCAGAGGATGGAACAACTCCTTACCATTCCGAGAGAGCCTGTGTTAAGCCCTTTGGTGTTTGGAAGGAAAAGGAAGAAAGTCAGGAGGATTTAAAGAGAATGGTTTGCTGCCACAAGTTAATTTGTTCTCCACTCACAGAACAAGAACTCTTAAGCTGAGTAAATGGTGTTTTGGGGCCTACAGCTCTCATACCCTTGACTGCTCCAACCCAGGCCATAAGGATCTGCCAACCCTCCTGCTCTCTGCAGTCAGCTTGTACTTGCTCCCAGGGAATGGCAGGCTTAGGGAATGATCTTTCATTATCTTTTTAATCCCTTTGTCATCTGATTTTTAAAGAGATTTTAAACATTTACAGGAGGATAACTACACCAGGGAAGGGACGAAGGTATTAAACGACAGGTTTATAGAATCACGGAATGGTTTGGGTTGGAAGGACCTTAAAACTCATCTCATCCCAGCCCCTGCCATGGGCAGGGGCACCTTCCACTAGCTGACATTGCTCCAAGCCCTTTCCAGCCTGGCCTGGAACACTCCCAGGGATGGAGCAGCCATAGAATGTGCACAGAATTCAGAATATTTGAGAAAACAGACGTTGGCATATATATCTTACTAAAATAGCTGTCAAGCCAATATCTCAGAAAAGCAATTTTATGATGAAGAATTGCTGAGTTCAATCTAATTAAAAACTATCTCAAATGTGTAGATAGAGCTAAACCATACATTAATTTTTAATTTGAGCTTCATATCGCCTTCAAGTAATTTTGGTATTTGTACTTGTTCATCCTGGGGTGTGAGAATTAGCCAGATGAGGGGTAGGGAAGAGCCAGAAGAGCACCCAGCCAGCGATGCCATTTATCAGCGCTTCACTGATGTCTTCATCTTATATTTTTTCACTTTCGTATTAAAAAAATTAAAAATCCATCTCAGCTGGGGTGACTGCCCCAGCAGTGATCTGCAGGAGATGCAATGCTGAGTGTTCTGCAGTGTGCCTGGAATTCCAAACACAAACCATCACTCCTGCTCAGACTGAAGGTATAAGTCTGCCTTACCCAGAGCAGCCTGAATACCTTTCAACACCAGCCAAAATCCCCAGTTACAGCTCATTTCAGCTTTTATTTGCCACAGAAGAGCAGTGAGGCTGGTGAAGGGACTCGAGCACAAGTGCCGTGAGGAGAGGCTGAGGGAGCTGGGATTGTTTAGCCTGGAGAAGAGGAGGCTCAGGGGAGACCTTATCACCCTCTACAACTCCCTGACAGGAGGTTGGAGTCAGGTGGGGGTTGGTCTCTTCTCCCAGGCAACCAGCAGGAGGACAAGAGGGCACAGACTCAAGCTCTGCCAGGGGAGGGTTAGGCTGGATATTAGGAAGAGATTTTTTACAGAGAGAGATTTTACAGAGAGCATTGGAATGTGCTGCCCAGGGAGGTGGTGGATTCACCATCCCTGGAGGTTTTCAAGATGAGACTGGATGTGGCACTTAGTGCCATGGTCTAGTAATCATGGTAGGGTTGGACTCGATCTTTGAGGTCTTCTCCAACTCGATTGATTTTATGACTTCCAACAGCTGTTGCAGCTGCAGAGCCTCACCTGTACACCACAGCAGGGATACGCTTCCAGGACCGAAAGCTTGCCACACTCTCCAGCTCCTTATCCGTGATCCAGGCAGGGACTATGATCTCCTGGGGGTAACTGCCACAGAGCCTAGGAGAAACGTGGTGCAAAGGGTTGAAAAGAAGAGATACAGAGCTACACATGTCCCAGACAACACACACAAGCAGTGTAAGGACCTGACAGCTCAGCACAGACATTTTGCTAACTCCTGTTTCACTGTGTGTTAATAAACTCCTCCTTTTGTGTTAAACAAGGGATGGTTATTTCTTCTTCCCTAGATTAGCAGAGACCAGCACAGAGATTCTTCCTGCAGTGACACCAACTACAGCTGCAAGTTATTATTCTGCAAAGGCAGAGCAAGGAAACCTGTTCATCACACAGTGTTCCAGCTGGATTTGCTCTGAGTTGGATCAGGGATCAGCCAGAACAGCCTGTCCTGGAGGAACACTTTCCTCTGCCCCAGAGCCTAGAGAAGAGACTTTTGGCTGGGCTTTCAGCACCTCAGAAAGTGTTTTCTCTTATTTTCAGCACCTACAAGCTTCACTCTTCCAAACATTTGTTTTAAAATACATCTTTGTTTTAAGTTAGAGAATAAGACACAATAAAATATAGTTTTCAAAAGTTCAAACTCCACTCCGTGCTCACTTAAGATCACCTTTCTGCCCTTAGAATGCTGATTCTCTAACAAGTCCTGCAGCATGCATGCCAAAATCTGCTATTTCTAAGCCTAAAAAATTATGGCAGCTAATGAAATGTCAAATAATTAAAAGCACATTTTTTTTTCTATAAAGCAAGAAAAAAAAATCCTCATTCTGATCGTCCCTTATTGGGAACTGTAGAAGTGGAAAAAGTTCTGGTGAAGTGCTCTAACAAAACTGGCATCTGAGGTGTAGGCTGGGAAGCAGCTCCTGTCACTCACTTGTACTTCTCATTGATGTTGGAAATCCTCCAGGCATTGTTCATGTCAAAGCCCATCCGCTCCACCTCGTTCTTGAACCTTGAAGTCACATGTTCTCCTGGGGATCACAAGCAGAGGGAGAAAATAAAGGGGAGAGAAGAAACTAAGATTCCTACTTTGCAGAGCAGTTTGAGGAAAACTCCACATCACTCAGTCCCAACCCACAGCCCACACTGCACAGCTCTAGTCTGAACATCCCTGGCAGGAGCCAATGATGGCCCTCCCTGGCCAACTCTCCAGAAATACTCAAGTCCAACAAGGACTTTTCTCTGCAATTTTCATCTTCTGGAAATTCATATAAAAATAACTGCAGACCAAGCACATCAGCAAAAGGAACTGAGATCTATCAGAGTCCTAGTGGGATTTGCTGAAGTTCCAAAGAATTTTGTATCAATGGGAAGAATGTGGAGCTCTGGAGAAGGGCTGAGATTTGGAATGTGCTCTGGAACGTGGGCAATCTTCATTGAATATGCAACTTCAGCCCCAGGTTTCCTGCATGGCTGGAGGCAAACCTTGTCATTTATCCTGAATCTCAGCCTTCCATCAGTGAATTGGATGTTATTCCTTATGAGTCATGTGGAGATGGGAAGATAAAATGCATAAATGATTGTTGGACACAAATATCAGTCACAAGATGCTCATAAATTCCTGGAGTAATATATTAAAGGAAGTACAATGAGCCCCATTTATTTCCTTGACACATTTTTTAAAGTATCAAAATACAACTGAAAAATATACAATGGCAATAAAGAATAATTATTCTGTCAGACAGAAAGTCTAGAGAATTAGACAAAATTTCCAGGTTCCCAGAGCTAAGGAATGTGCTAAACTTAAGGAGCATGTGAGCAGCACTAGAGCAAGTGATTCAGAAAGTCCATCCACTGCTTGTCTCTTTAAATTACTGTTCCCTTAAATCAAGAGGCAGAGCAGCACCTGACAGGGGACAGAAACTGCTGAAAAATTAATGCTTTAAGTATTACAACTTTCCATTAAATATTGCAGAAATCCGTTAAGTCTCTCAATCCCCAGATAACTACAGGCACACAGTTAGCTCCAAGATGTAAATGTGCATGTCTGAAACAATTTTTCTTGTGACACCACAGAAAAATTAGAGATAAATACGAGAGAGAGTATAGATATTGGGAAGGAATTGTTCCCTCAGAGGGTGGTGAGGCACTGGCACAGGGTGCCTAGAGAAGCTGTGGCTGCTCCATCCCTGGGAGGGTTCCAGGCCAGGTTGGACAGGGCTTGGAGCAACTGCTGACGTTACACAGGTCTAAGTAAATGAAACCCACCACAAGAATTCCCTTAGGACATTCAGGTGCTGCTGTGCCTCTGTGGTGCTCCCCAGGTGTTCCCACATACCTGGCCGACACAGGTCCCCGTGCTGCTCCTTCTCACTGGCATATACCTCCATGCACCAGGCGTGGTAGGCAAAGGAGAACAGGTCCTCTATCTTGGAGGGAGGGCGGATGGCATTGTTCAGTCGCTTCAGCCAGTCCTGGCACTGCTCAAAGGTAGAGAACTGACACCTGGGCCAGAACAAACAGCTACTGGTTAGTGGTCAGTAAAAGCTGAAACATGAGGTGTTTGACAGGTTATGACAGGCTGAGCATGGGAACCACTGGGAAAGCACAAAATGAGAATAAACATCTTATTGCCAACTTAGTTCTGCTCCCATGTACATCCTAAAGGAGAGTAAAAATGAAACCCGTGGATATTAATAAGGAAACATCCACTTAGGGAAACGAAGATGAACTGTGAGCAGGACAGCAGTGCTCTGTGCCTGTGAATAACCAGTGGTGTGCCCTGCCAGGCAGGAATCAGAGGGACTTTTGTCATGTCTTAACTATAAACCAAGGACAAGATCACGGGTCACTCTGCAACTTTTACACAGTCAAAGACAGGAATGTGCTACAGTGAATTCTGACTGCTGGGACCAGGTGGGAACTCAGAAACTATTAGAGACATTACAACCTACATATTACAACCATAATCACATTCCCATAAAGAGGCTGGGAGAGCTGGGGGTGTTCAGCCTGGAGAAGAGAAGCTCCAGAGAGTACTTAGAGCACCTTCCGGTGCCTAAAGGGGCTCCAAGAGAGCTGCAGAGGGACTTGGGACAAGGGCCTGGAGGGACAGGACACAGGGAATGGCTTCCCACTGCCAGAGGGCAGGGAGAGATGGGATATTGGGAAGGAAGTGTTCCCTATGAGGGTGCTGAGACACTGGCACAGGTTGCCCAGAGCAGCTGTGGCTGCTCTATCCCTGAAGTGTTCCAGGCCAGGTTGGACAGGCCTTGGAGCAACCTGGCTGGTGAAAGGCCATAGCAGGGGGAGGAACTGGATGAACTTTAAGGTCTCTTCCAAACCCTTCTCTTTCTGGCCCTGGTGGGAAGCACAAACTATGTTTCACACTGAGCTTTGCCCAACATTACAGACTAACAACAACTAGTGAGAATACTCCCTGCACAAGAGAAACTAATCTTCAAAGCAGTGCATTAAAATTCCATTAGTTTGTCTTTTTAAAGAGGATTCCTGAACCCTTTAGAATAAAAGGGTGGCAATATATCAGTGATTTATTTTGCTCTGACAGATTTCTCCAAGATTTTATAGTTATAAAACATTCACCAAGTATTTACATTCAGCTCAGCCTGAGCCCTACTGTGTTCCTGGTTAATGATGGCATCTGTATTCCCTCGGGGCAGATTTATTACCCCTACCTGCACATAGCTAAGAGTCAGTCAGTGGAAGGGAAAAGACATCTCTAAACAGCTGTGAGGAACTGCAGCCTGGAGGCATTTATTTATTTCCCATCACTGACTATAAAGCAGCTCAGACTGCTTAGACTGCTAATTCTCTGTTAGATATCCACACTCAAAGAAGATACATCTCACCCTGAATTCTTCCTAAATTCTTTTGAAGTTGGTGGTGCAAATCACAATTACTATCTTCACTTGAGCCCTATTACTCATAACACAAACTCTGCTTGTGAAAAAGAACAGCAACATGTTCTAAATCTCCTGTCTCAGCCCCATACTCCACCAGAGCCACCAAGTCCTCAGTCCTGGAGATGCAATTTTGAAGGGAAACTCATAAAGAAGAGCATAAATACAAATAATTTGTGTTCACTCTACAATCGAAGAGAAATAACAGATTAATATAGAGAGGAAGGGGTGACTTTCTTAAATGTCAAGAGCCACAAGTAAAGAGGAAGTTAAATATTGAATTCAAATTAAACTAAATATTACTCCTAAAGTAAAATCAGCCCTTGTGAGAAAACAGCATTTCAGGCAGCAGCTGACCTGTCAGACATCCTGAATGCTCAGAGATGGCTGGGGCTCATTTCATTATACAATGGTACTGCCAGCAAACATTTAATCAAAAAGAAATGTTCCTTTCTTGTTAATTAAAGTACATAGATCAAAATAAATTTCTGCAGCAGCAGTCACAAAAAATAGCTGTGGCTCAGGTTCAGTAGCTCAGAGAGTCCTGGCTCATGCTCTGGAGTCTGCTGAAGGACAGGCAGCAATGAATGCTCTTTCTCCATGCTGCTGTGACCCTGGGTACAGAGTGGATTGGAGGCCTGGATTTACCTCGTTCCCTCACTTTCTATTACCTCATTCCCTGACTTTCTTTTCCAGTAGGCTGCTATGCTTTAAGGATAGTGACTGTCCCCTCACAGGTGTAAATGCTGCATGGCAGAAGCTACAGAACTGCCCAAGCACATACCTAAACCCTGCAAACCCCAAATGATTAAGCACTTCTCCAAGCAGTGTGTGTGCCAGTGGTTTTATCTAGGTCTGGATCTATGGGCATGTAGATATAGACACACCTATAACATATAACTGACTGTAGAGCAGGGAAAATGCAGTGAGACCAAAATGAATTTCAGAATAACCTCAAGATTTGCCACTTGGGCTCAGCTCAAGGTTTGCTCTGTCCTGTATCCCAGTAAGCAAACACACAGTCCATCTTGCTGCCATTCTCAGCTATCACAGCAACATCAGAAAAAGCTTTTTAGGGAAGCAAATCCACTTCAAACAAACAAACATTTCCTTCAAACACCACAGCTGCCACAGCATGTGGAAAGCAAACCCACCCCCTTCAGCCCTCAGCCTGCTCTTACCTTATCACCTTGCAGTCTTTGCAAGTCAAATGAAGCTGAAATATATCACGGCACTCCACACTTTCTATCAGCTGCAAGGGAACCTGCAATCAAAAAACACGACACGATTTTACTTCAAACAGCACTAGGAGGAATTCTTTCGCACATCTCACAAGGATTTATTGTAGGATAAGAGAGAAGAAAACAAACAAAACCAAGTGTGACTACTTTTCATGTATTCATGTTTCAGCTCCACTGCTGTAGAGTCCCAAATCCCTAAGGGATCCCACAGAAACAGCAGAGAACACTGCAGCACTGGTGCCAGCAGGAACCCAAGCTGCTCTCTCATGGAAACATCTTTCTCTTACAGGCCTGAAGTTAGGAAACTTGGAAATACAATCTTAGCTGTTGGTGTCCAAAGGAACTGCTGAGCAAGATCCCCTCAACAGACTGATGCAGTCTGGTGCTCTTCTATGGAAATATCCTGTACTTCCTCTTCAGGGAAAACCCATCTGGCCTGTTTAGATCAACACTGTATTGATGCAGCTGCATTTAAAGTAATAATGCTGATTTTTTCATAGTGAAAGGTGCAATTATATGGACTTATGCTTTATGGCACGTGGGACCAGCAGCAGGTTGGTTAGGTAACACATGAGAACACATGCAAGTACCTTTAAAGATAAGAAACAACCACAAGTATTATTATATTAATAATATTTTTGGACCTTTACCTGAGATGGGCAAATGAACATCGTTGTTTTAAAAGAATAAAAGTCATAAATAATTGACTAAATTTAGCCAATACCCATAATAAACATGAAGTATAAAACTGTCAGACTTGTTTATTAGATTATATAGGATATTACACAAGGTAACACAACCTCTGCCATCAAGATCTTTCACTAGCATTCAAATCCTCTGTGATCTTTGCCATCAGAGGACTCTGATCTGGCAGGCTAAGGTCTGGCTTGGGGCTTACAAAATGTGGCTGTCAGAGCCTGCTGTGCCAGGGCCTTTCCATATGGTTGGGCAAGTCCTTGAAGGTCACCTCCAATCAAGGAATCCAGACAGCTGCTACTCAGGGGCACCACAAAGCTTGGGACGGACCTGAT